GTTCTCTAAACCTGCATTCTTTCCAGTGACCAGCAGGGGTCGTCTTGTCCAGATGAACAGCTCCTCGGCTTCTTTGCTCTGACTTCAGTCAACATTTTGAAGAGTTTATGCTCTTAATCGCTGGAAGTTTTGTATCTGTCGTCGTGGCATCACCATATAAGAGCGCTGTGCTGAATGTGTCCAGTGACGCTGAGATGTTCCTGTCTGCAGGTCCAAGAGAAATGCCAGCTGGAGATCAGCTTCAACACTCTGCAGACTAAACTGAGACTCAGCAACAGACCTGCCTTCATGCCGTCAGAAGGACGCATGGTGTCGGTATGAAACTCGCACACAGTCGATGGGAAAAGTTACACCACACAATTATAGCTTAGTGAATTTAACACAGTCAGTATTAAGTTACTTTTCTGTGTTTGTTAACAAACAATCCAGCTTTAAGTTCCTTTGTAAATATTACAGCAGTTTCACGCCACCTCATTCACACTTTTCTGCACGTATGAGATGTTTTCCTGTGTTTGGAGTTTCTACTCTACAGTAACTCTTGCTGTTTGCTCTCAGGACATCAACAAAGCGTGGCACAATCTGGAAGGAGCAGAGAAAGGCTACGAGGAGTGGATCCTCAGCGAGATCAGGCGTCTGGAGAGACTGGAGCATCTGGCCGTCAAGTTCCACCAGAAGTGCGCCATCCATGAATCCTGGACCGACGGTATGTGAATTCCATCGCGGTGAAGCAAACGTCTTCGCGACGCCAGAGTGCTTGTCTCTGAATAAACGAGGCTTTTGTGCATGCAGGTAAGGAGGCCATGCTTACCCAGAAAGACTACGAGACGTGCACCCTGTCAGAAGTCAAGGCGCTGCTCCGGAAACACGAGGCCTTTGAGAGCGACCTGGCCGCCCACCAGGACAGAGTGGAGCAGATCGCCGCCATCGCGCAGGAGCTCAAGTAAGATCTCTGACTTCATCAGCATCGGTTCCTCGTGGCTTCTTTCATGCACAAACGCACAAAGCAGGTCGGGCAGCTCTATTCTTCACAGTTTGTGATAATTCTTTCCTTTCTCGCGGGTTTGTGGTCGGCGTCGTACCTGCGCCTCGCTGCGAGGTGAAACACACAGCATCATTTGCTGCTAGCTCCCGATGGCTCTCGTCTCCACGTCAGGGTTCATTTATTCAGAGTAATGAAGCTGCTAAATATGCACAAGTCTCATTTTGGAAACGTACTGATGGTTTGTGCTGCAGCCCGAAGCTGCTGCTGTGTAATCATCTGTTCCAGCAGATCATTTTTCACAGTTGATTATTCGTTTTGTTCTCATTTGAATTCTTAGATGTACCCGTGGGGCAAACAACTTTAACTTCAGTTCTTTCTTCTTTCTTCCAACTCTCACATTATTTTCACAACTTCCTTTAACGTCGTCTCGAGTTGCATTAAATTCACATTTCAGTCAGAAATGGACAAAACTACAGAGCAAAGTGGTGAAGAAGCAGCTCCGCTGTTCTTTGGAGACGTCTGTGCATTTTTTCAGAATGAAGAAGCAGCTTCGAGGCTTCTGTCAGGTCACTCTGGTTTGATCGACACAGACTCAGACTTTCCCCACTTAACGTCCAAAATCTGACCTCACAGTCAGATGTTGTCGATTAACAGAAAGAAGTGCGTCTGAAAGTGAATCTGATCATAAGAAGTGCTCGACAAAGGAAAACCCTTTTTCTTCCTTTTCCAGTGAACTGGACTACTACGATGCCGCCAGTGTCAACGCTCGCTGTCAGAAGATCTGCGATCAGTGGGACGTCCTGGGAGCCCTCACCCACAAACGCAAAGAGTCACTGGAGGTACGATTCGGCCTGTTTGTGCAGCACCTTTTGAGTAGGGCTGGGTATCGTCACTGATGTCTACAATCGATTCAATTCCGATTCACAAGGTCCCGAATCGATTCGATCCACAATTCGATTTAATTCGATTTAAGTCGATTTGAATCTGGGAAATTTTGACAGTCAGAAATATTATCATTCAGATCAGTACATTTACATATTTTTGTATCTATAAAAAGAAATCTGACACTCGCAAGACTTTATCAAAGGTGTGAGCATCACAGCAGATGCCTTTGTGTCAAAGCAGCTGAAGATAAAACAGAAAAACATGAAGGTGATTTTCCTGTTCTGGGATTTTATACAAATATTCTGCAGTACATCAAAAACAAAAGAAAACCATTAATCAACACATGAACATTAACTCTGACGTTACAGCGGTTTTATTAGAGACACAGTGTTTTGCATTTTGCATAATTTTAAAAAGTTTAAATTTGTTCAGTATTGAACGGCAGAAATTAGGTTTTCTTTTCAGAAGTAAGTAAAAGGAAAAAAAAAAAA